TGACCTAATCTTCAGCACATTTATGAATGTAACTTGTGATGACCTTTGCCAACTTTTGTTCCACAACTCGCCAGACTTCAAAACATAACACAAGACTGTTATACATCTAAAATAACTCATAACATAACCTCCTTATAATGTTAAGCACCCTAGTCTCACCCCAAAAGTACATGTTATAACATTCTCAACTTGTCGGCTTTCGACAAAAAATATTTTCTTCAATTCGTTTAGCTTCTAAGCCTTCCAACCCTTCTTGGTACTTGGTATTCATGATGTTAAATATTTGTAACCACCACGGTAACATGATTAACTTACTTTATAAACTTTTCAAAGATGATCTCATTTCTGATCTTACATTAATTGACTTACGACGTACTCTTACGTTAAAAAATATGGGGTGTAACAAATCTTTTTCCTTTTCAAGCATAATTTGATGATTAGGTATCTGTCTCATTGGGCTCTGCAAAACTTGTAATTTTTCTTTTGTCTTCTTAACTCTATCTGATATTCCAGCAAATTCCTTTTTGTTTAATTTTTTCAATTCAACTTTTAGCTTTTGCAATTTCTTCCATACCTTAACAATTGGAATTGAGTTGTCGGGTCTGGACCATGTTGTCTCTACTATTGCCATGAATTCTGGATGATCGGCCAAGTAATTATAGAACTTAAATGGTTTACTCAGAGGAGAATGATCAGAGAAAAACAGATCTATAACTAAATCTTCCAAATGAGTTGATTTTTGTACCCAAGCAGGGTTAACTAGTGCCCTATCAATCCTGATGTACACATGGTTGTTAGTCCTGGTAAATGTTCTTCTTACAACTTTCATTTCCATCACGCTTGTAACTTGTAAGATGTTCTTAAAATCTCTAATTTCAGCTTCCTGAATTGGTGTACCATTTACTCTATCCTCCATAGATAAGACATCATTAAAACCTTTCATAAGTAACCAAGGATCACTCATTGTGTGAGTTGTACAATGCAACTCTTCCCGTAATACTTTTCTATCTTGAATGGTGTACAATCCATACACAACAGTGAAAAAGAACTCCATTTGTAAGGAATACACCTTCACCAGCCCATGCATAAATTGTTCTTGAGTTCTTAATATAGTAAAATCAAAATAAGTTTGATTCCATAACACCCAAATCCTTCCTTTTCCTGTATGTTGATAGTTAAAACTCCAGTTTCAGATTTTCATCCGACAACTACCTTATTAACAATCTTAACAGCTACTTGATGCTTAACTCTGTGTTCAACAATAGCCATTATGCCTACCTTATTTTCTTTTAAGAACTTATTCAACTCTTTTTGCTTATAGATCTTGTTGAGCCCTCTTACGATCCAAGTTACTAGCTTCATCTTATAAGATTTTAAGTTGAGAATTTCTATTTCCTCCTCTACTACTCTGTGCTATATCTATTGTCCCAGCAGGATTATGCCTTTTCTTATTATCTTCTCCCACCAAAGGGACTAAAAATATTTTTCACCCTAACAACATCCATCTTGCAAGGTACCGAAGTCCTTGATATTGCATTCGCTCTCACCTTCTACCAATCATCTTCTTTATCTATCTTCTCTATATTATTATTGGTATTAGTGATGAATGCAGTGGAATCAACAACAACACTTTGTTTCCCATCATTTTCCTTCAACTGCCCCTTGGGTTGAATTTGTTCCATTGACACACTATCCGGCTTTAGAGTTTTCTGCCAGATTATTTTAATCATTTTATTCTTAGTTTGCTTCCCTTTGTCACCATTAGCGGCCCAATTAGATATGTTTGTCGTATCTGCAATTACTCTGGATAATAGATTGGTTTTCAATTATATTCCACTGTTTGTTCAAAGTACTTGCCTTCTAGGTCCTGTACTTTTATACTAATTGGAAGTTCGCAAGTGACATCCATTTTCACCAAAGCATAGGATATTCTATTGATACCAGAAGTACACTCATCTGCATAGATAGGCATCCCAACACGCTTCCTATATTACTCAATATAACAGTACCCCAATAATTCAAAGGTAAATCTGGCAATCTAATCCAAAGGGGAATGCTCCCACTTCTTCACTTAAGTTAAACTCTGGACTCCAGGCTCTTACGATGATAGGTATGCTATTTATGGTGTATGGGCCATAAAATATAATGGTATCACGATCCTCTAAACTATTGAATAACACCACAAAATAGTATTCATTATGATAGTAAATATTTGGCTTAGAAGTGAAGTTCCAAGTTGCAGGAATAAAACTCTCCAAAGCACCTATAGTTGGATAATCACCTACCACATAGAGAATGGTTGTCTTCTCCCACTTCAGAGTCTCTTGTGAAATTTCTTTCCGTAATTGAGCAAAATGCTCCCCATCAATGATCACCGATTCCACAGAGCTCGGATTCATTCCTTGAGCTGCAAGTTTACTTCCAGCAAATAGCCCAACCCATGATTTACCCGCTCCCTCTACATGGTTTCCTTTTTCTTTCCTTTGAGATTCTTTCTCAGCAATGTTGTTCAATTGATCCTTATTAGTATCAGTCGTAGAGTTGAGCTCATTTACTCCAGAAGGCATGGTCACTTCACTACTACCACTAGTTGTATTAGTTGAATTCATACATGGATGGTGAACTATCGTTGGACTTACTCCGCTTGTCTCCGTCGGATTGGTTGTAATTGAACCATGCTTCTATTTTTGAATTGAGTTTCCTCTGATTAATTGCGGAGGTGTGGTTGCATGTTTGAATCCCAATTGACCTCCATTACCCATGACACTCTTCTGCTCCACCACTACAGCCTTGTTCGCAGCCTTAGCAGGTCTTCCTCTAGGCATTTCTGGCAACTGCGCAAGATAGTAATGTCAGCCTATTGTGCGTTGAGAGAAGCCTTCAGAAATGACTATTAAGGGGCTTTTAACAATATGTAGCTACATATTATGTATTTATATTTTATAGCTACTTTTGGACAATTCTCTGTATTTGAGTATTTTTTTAAGCAACTATACCACTCGGCAGCACTTGCCTAGTGGTTAATATATAAATAAAATTCCAAAATGGGTCCAAAACTTACAAGATGTCCAAACCAAAATAGAAGTTGCATGAAGCTACTAGCTATTAAAAAATATAGAAAAGCTAAAATCTAATGAACTAGCTATTACAATATAATAAGTTGAATGCTTCCTTCTCCTATCAGTGTATGTGAATCCAATTGTCATTGGCAAATACCAAGCAACACCTATCAAACTATCACCAGGCGCCAGGGTATATTGTCCATAGGCTAAAATGAATTTCAAACATCTCCACCATAGAGTTGAAGCCAACATAGTCTTCCAAGTGTAGTTACTATATGATCTCCATATGCAGTGAACTGATTTTGTCTAAGTATTAATCATATGCTCACTCATCAGAATTAATGTGTAAAAGAGGAGCCTGGCTTTAGGCAGGCTTTGCAAGGCAAAAGCCAGGCTTGAGCTGGCTTTAGGCAGGCTTTGCAAAAATAAATCCAGGCTTGAGCTGGCTTTAGACATGCTTTTCAGGGCAAAAGCCAGGCTTGAGCTGGCTTTAGGCAGGCTTTGCAAGGCAAAAGCCAGGCATGAGCTGGCTTTAGGCCGGCTTTGCAAGGCAAAAGCCAGGAATGAGCTGGCTTTAAGCAGGCTTTGCAAGGCAAAGGCCAGGCTGTGCCTTTTTGTGATCTTGTAAGCTCAGATCCTTCCCGACTAGAACCTTTAATGTAGACATCATTCTAAACATTGCTAAACCATCCTCAGATTAAGCATGAAAGAATGCTAATACCATTGAGAAATGATTCAACAATCTCCAGAAATACCATATGATTGGTTCAGCATTTTCCTTAGCATTTGGACATATCAGAATTAGGATAAATTATACCATCCAACACCTGCTTATCGTATTTTTTTTGTACACTATCAAAGCACCCACATAATGAGCATGAGACCATGCTAATACCATTGGAAAGTACCTTAATAGCATACTGAATTAGACAAAGAAACATGCAGGTTTGTGCAGAGTCCAATCCTGTGAAGCCATCAGTCTGTGGTTCTTCTCTTTGCTATCCTAACCCTAAGGTTAGGTGATTGAGATTTGTCTAGATTGATCAACCTCCTCCCTGTATTAGGCAGGTCAGAGAATGAATGAAACTCAGAAGTACCTACAAAAGAAAACACAATGTTAGCTATAAAATCCGCCACTGAGTTGCCTTCTCTGAACACATGTTGAAAGACCACATTGAAGTTGTCCTTTATCTCTATAATTTTCTTCACATCCTGTGCAATTACCCAAGGAGGATCCCATTCCACTTCTATCACTTTCTTCATCACCAACAAATCAGTCTCCAATATGAGAGGGTGAAAATCATGCTCCACATAGTATTCCAACCATTAAAGAATAACCTTAGCTTCAGCTACCACATTAGTTGTCACTCCTAGGTCTACTGCCCTAGCATACACCACATCACCTTCATCATCCCTCACACAAAAGTCTAGGGAGCTAGGTCTAGGATTTCACTTTGAGGCTCCATCAGTATTACATATGTACCAACCATGAAAAGGAAGCTGCCATGTTACTCTTGTAGTGATCAATATAGGTTTCTATCCTTCAAAGTATTGAATCATGTATGGCCATAACATTGGAATATTAGGCATCCAAGCATACCTCACCCTTGCCATTTCATGCAATGTCCTATTTATCTCATGAATCACCCTATTTGTGGACACTGAACTCCCATGTTTACCTGCATTTCTTTTCTTCCAAAGCTCCCAAGTGATGATAGCTAGTACTGCTTGAAACAGTGGCTTTAATTTTGGACAACACTGAGCATACCACCAATGTCTAATAACCTGCTTCAGTTGAATCAATGGCACAGTAATTCCAACAGCCCCCATGAACAAGTTCCATACCTTAGAGGCAGTACGACTTGTGACAAATATATGCTGAATGGATTCCTCTTGGGGATGCTGACAACACCAACACCTAGACATTACCATTTGCCCTTACCTCCTCCACATGTCATCAGTGGCTATTTCCTGGCTCCACAATCTCCACAAGAAGAAGGATATCTTGAAAGGCAAACCTTTAATCCACATTAACTTGAATTCCTGATTAGGATCAGCCTTATGCCTTAATATTTGCCAAGCACTGCTAACACTGAACTTGCCTGAAGGAGTTGGCATCCGGTATGGCCTATCCCAATATCCCTCACTGCCTTCATAATACACATTCAGCCTTATATGTTCTGCAATTTCCTCATTGAAAGTTTGATCTAGCAGCTGAATATCCCATGCTTCCCCTTGCCGCAGTTCTGCCACATCCTGAAGATCTTCATTGATTGGAAAGTCTTCAGGTAATACGTGATAAAGTGCACCCAATCCAGTCCAATTTTCATGCCAAATATTAGTGGTTTCACTCTTCAATTCCCATACGATCTCATGTTCTACTTCTTCCCTAGTATTCAGCATTTGTCTCCAAGCATGAGACCCTTTCCTAAAATGCACCACTGTTGGTAGCTCCTTCTTGCAATACTTATTCCATATGAAATTAGACCACAAAGATTTTGTGGTCCTAAACCTCCACCATAGTTTAGCAAACATTGCCCTTGAGACATCATGTAGTGACCTAAAACCTAGGCCCCCTTCCTCTTTAGGAAGGTAAAGATTTTGCCATGAAGCCCAGTGTCTGCTTCTCCCTTCTTCCTTTGTGCTCCAAAAGAACCTAGCAAAAATATTATGTAGATGCTTCAGGATGTTGTTTGGTGGATCAAGGATTGATAACATATGAACTGGCATACTTTGCAATACACTAGAGATTAGTGTTGCCTTTCCTCCAAATGACAGCAACTTTACTTTCCATGAATGCAATTTAGCCTTCACCTTCTTGATAAGATCCTCATAATAGTCCTTCCTCCTTCTAGTATAAAAAATAGGACACCCTAGGTATGTGAAGGGGAATTTACCTCTTGCAAATCCTGTAATAGCTCCAACTGCCTGAAACAATCCATTAGCAACCTTTGAATGCATGTAGTATGAACTCTTATCTTTGTTGATCATCTGACCTGATATCTTCTCATAGTTCCCCAACACTGCCATAATCTTGCTCAAGGAGGGAGGATGAGCAGATGCAAAGTTTATGGTATCATCAGCATATGCCAAGTGGCTTAAAGGATCAGACCACTTAGGCATTCCAAATCCCACAAATGACTTGTCTTCAAAGAGCTTATTCAAACACCTGGAAAGTACCTCAGCTGACAGAATGAACAATGCTGGAGATAGGGGATCCCCTTGCTTCACACCCCTTGTAGACTTAAAGAACCCTGAGGACTGCCCATTTACCAATATTGAATACCAGTTATTTGACATCAAGTTTCACACCATGTTGATGAAGTTCTTAGAAAATCCCATCTTCCTTAGCACATGTAACAAGTACTTCCATGAAACCCTATCATAGGCCTTTGCCATATCAAGCTTGATCACCACATTAGCTGGCTTTCCCCTTAACCTTATGTCAGTGACAATTTCTTGAGTTAATAAAATGTTCTCAAATATACTCCTACCCTTTACAAATCTGGATTGATTAGGAGATACTAAAGATGGCAGAATACTCTCCAATCTGTCATGTAACACCGTAGACAAGACCTTGTTAGTGAAGTTGCTCAAACTAACAGGTCTTAAGTCAAAGAAGGTCTCAACTTTAGGTTTCTTGGGTAGCAACACTAGATTGGTGTGAGTGATGGATTAAGGCAATGCAGCTACTCCATAGAAGTGTAGCACCATGTTGTGTATATCAACACCAATAACATCTCAGCATGTTTGATAAAACAGGCCAGTGAATCCATCAGGATCACTAGCACTCTCCCCACTAAGCTCAAAAATTACCGCCCTTACTTCTTCAATTGTTGGCAATCTGCTAAGTTCCAAATTATGATCCTAGTGACCATTGAAGGTACATTATTGAGCAAGGAAATTTCAGAAGCATCACCGTCATTTGTGAACTATTTTTTATAGAAGTCCACTGCAGTTGTAGCTAATTGCTCCTGGTCTTCAATCCATACCCCACTACTACTTTTAATCCTCTTCAGTTGTAATTTCTTTCTTTTGCCATTGACATAATTATGAAAGAAACTTGTATTCCTATCTCCTTCAGCAAACCAAATCATCCCAGCTTTTTGCTTCCAATACTGCTCCTCAATACTCAAGTGTTTCTTCAATTTAGATTGAGCCTTTTGAAGCACAATCCTATTCTCAATTGTAGGCTCTTCTTCAAACAACATCTCCTTCACCCTAAGAATATCCTCCAAAATAGCCAATTGCTTGAAGATATCACCAAATGTTTCCCTACTCTATTTTGAAAGTGCTGCCTTCACCCTCTTGATATTCTGCTTGAACATCAAAAATGGATTCCCTATGAAATCAGCTTCCCAATTCTGCCTCACCACATCCATGAATGTAGCATGCTTTTTCCAAAAGTTAAAGAACCTGAAAGGCTTGACAAAATTGGTTGTCTGCTCCCCATATGTTATTAGCAATGGTGCATGATCTGATCCAGTTCTGATTAGATGCTCAACTTCAATAGTTGGCAACATGTTCTGAAATGGAAAATTCACAAAAATACTATCCAATCTCTTGAATATACACTCAGCATTGGATCTCCCATTCCACCATGTGAATGGACTTCCTTTGTACCCTTGCTCAAACAAATCACAAGAGTTTACACAAAATGCAAAATTCTCATATTCAGAGGGTGTACTAGAAGTCCCCCTATTTTCTCATCTTTATGCAATACCACATTGAAATCCCCTCCTACCAACCATGGTAATTCCATATCAATTGCTAAGTAATACAAGTGATCCTACAAATCCAACCTCTGCATAAACAAATGTCATCATCATGTGTTGCCCTAGGTCATGGTGAAACACTCTCACAGTCACCTGTTGCTCAATATCCTCCACTAATTCCCATTCCACCACTGCATCGAAGAACAACCATATTTGCCTATTAATATTTGCATAAGCAGTCTCCATATTCAACCTCCTTTTATATCTATCAATGAGTCCCTTCTTTTGAAAAGGCTCCATCAATGTAACTACATAAAAATTATGCTCCCTATTCATGTTGATCACCCTAGGAAAGGCATGTTATGTATTCACATACCTTATGTTCCATATTAATGTTTTGATCATCATTATTTAGATAAAGAAGTTGCCCTCCTGGGCATTATTCTTGAAGGTTGTGGTGGATTTTTATTCTGATTCTTCTTAGTTTTCTTACCTCCTTTAGCACTAGCTGTGGGTGATAAATCCCTTTCCCTAGCCACTTGTTTGAAGTTTTCTGCAGTTGATTCATCATCTCCTTCATCCTCCATTGGATTTTGTCTCAATAAGTCTTCATCAATTGGTGTCACATTGTATGTAACTAAATCATGTAAATGTTGTAGAGGAGTCTTAAGTGGAACATTAAGATGTAGCTGCATAAGTTGATCAATGCCAGATTCCATAGGCACTTCTTCTATTTCCCCATATGCTCTTAGAACAATTGCCTGCTCATCAGCCTGTTCATACTCCTTGAATTGTAGCTCATAGACACTGCCTAGCCCAGGAGTTACTGTAGCAGTCTGCTCTGAAAATACTGTTCTAGTGAGATCACCACCCTTCCCATTGCTTGAAATTTGGTATGAACCCACTATATCATCCTTAATCTTCACATCAACATCTCCATCAAGTTTGTTCTCTGATGCATACACCGGAACACCATCTACATAGGCCAAAATCTCTCCAGTTGCACTAAGGTTGGGGTTTACTGTAGCTGCCTCATCAGGTGAACTTGGCTTTAGGCCTGGCGTCGCCAGCCTAATGCCTGGGGAGCCTGGCTTTAGCCCTGGTGAGAGTGGCTTTTAGGCCTGGCGTCACCAGGTGAGCTTGGCTTATTGTCCTTCTTCACATTGTCTTCTGTTGTCTTTGTTTTGCTCAGCTGATCATCCTTAACCTCAACAACATCGCTCCATAAGACCTTTGTAGAGTTTACCTCATCAAGATCCTCAATCTGCCCAGAATCTTTAAATGTTTGAGATGGAATCTCATGACAAGATTGGTTTGTGGTCACATTGAGTTATTTTAGCTCATCATTTCTAGTACCAAACCTTCTATGAACCCATTCGATTGTGGACTGAATCCCAGAAGGAGTAGGACCATCTTTAGAACTGAAGACTGGTTTTCCCCCCACCAAAACCAGTTGATTGTTCTCATTTATATCACTTTGTTCCTTCTCTAATACTGCAAATTTATTCCTTGCTTGAACCTTGTTTGTATGATCTTCTTCGACCTCCACCAGTGCAAAGTTATTTGTAGTGTGCACCTGTTGTACACCAGCATTCACTGGCACGATGGCATTGCCAGTTTGCCCTTTTACCTGGGTTTTGTTATTTTTGTTGGTTCCTGATTATGCCGAACTTTCTTCCATTGTTCACCTACGTTCCCGACTACTTTTCCACTCGTGAGAATCATTAACGAGGTAGTGTGATTTTTGGTTTTTCCTTGTTCATCAGCAGCAGTATTCCAGTTGTTCGACTCAGCAAGATCATTTCTTTTCTCGCTGCTTCGATTCTCAATAAGCTCGGGGTGCAAACGCCAACATTCAATTTCATCATGTCCTTTTAGTTTACACTCCTTACAATATTTTGGTAGCATGTAATACTGAATTCTCACCCATTCTGTTCGAACACCACCAGAAGCTTCATCATCAATATCCAATCGCACCTTTTTAGGTAGTTCGGCCAACAAATCGACAAGAACTTTTACTCTTGCGCAAGTTGGCCTAGTTTTGTTTGTAGTTGTCGCGTTAAGACACACTGGCCTTCCCACAGCTGTAGCTAAAGAAAACAGAGTTTCCTTTACAAAAAAGGTAGGCAGCAGTCCAGGAAAAAAAATCCACGCCATCGCCATCGGAGTTTCTTCACCCGTCTTAAATTTAGTAGATAAGAGTACGCAATTGGTATTCGTACCCATCTTTGGCTTTGCTGTAGTACGTACTCTTCGATGTGAAATTGAGAAAGTCTTGCCATAGAGTTAATCTAATTAACACATGATGATCTCTAAGGAATCCGATATTATACTCACTTTTGATACCACATTGAGTTGGAATTATTCGGCGAAGCTCGTGAATCTCCGGAGATCCATATGAAAGCTTGCCAACGACAGCATATTGGAGGCCTTCAATCACGTTCATTTGATCTACTTCTGCCTCTATAAATTTAACCGCTGGTTGGCCATTCAAATACACTGCTGGTCGCAATGGAATGAGTTGAATTGAAGCTGCAGCAGTAGCCATCGCTGGAGGATTTAAAGTATTTGGTTTCAAAATCTTAGAGTAATCTAGAGGAGTGGGTTGGAGTTAGTTGTTGTATGTTGTTGTGCGACGCTGGGGGAGGGCCGACCAGCCGGAAAAGATGGCTGGTCGCCAGCCATTATTTGAGTGTATTTGAATATACTGTTCAACTTTTTTTTTCTTCCCGCGTGTATTTGAGTGTATTTAAATACACAATTCAGTTGTATCCAACTTTATTTAATGTGGCAAGGTTGAACATATTCGACTGTATTTGAATGTATTTACAGTAAAAGAAATGACGAAATGAAGAATATAGTCAAATTCGGCCAAATCTCAGGCGAAAATGCAAAATACACTATATTTAAAAAGGAAGAATACAATTAAACCCAGTCGGATCTCCGGCGAAATATAAAATACCACTGTATTTATACTAAAAAAATGAAGAATACATTCAAATCCTTTTAAAAATTAATTATATTTAACTGAAAAATTAAGAATACCATCAAATCTCCGACGAGAATACAAAATACACTATATTTAAAAATGAAGAATACAATCAAATCCTGTCGGATCTCCGACAAAAATCCAAAATACACTTTAGATCTCTGACGAAAATACCAAATTCATTGTATTTATACAATGATTTTATGACTTGAAAGGCAGTGGAGAAGAAAGAGGAGGCTTCTTTTTCCGGCTTGAGAAGTAGTGGTGGAGGAATAAGTGTCAGGTCAGACGAATACACTCAGATGTGAGATACAAAGAAGGAGAAGAAGCCATAGATTCCGGCATCTCCGTTAGATCCAGATCTAGTACGCCTATGATCTTCCTCCATTGTTTTCGTTGCCGGTAATGGATTGATCCCAACTTCGTGATTTCAAATCTGGATCTTACGGTGGGTGGCGACGGTGTTTAAGGGTGATTTTCGGTGAAGGGGTATACGTCGGAGGGTGATGATGTATGGGGAAGAAAGAAAGAAGGGGCTGTTTAGTTGGGCTCCATAGAGCTCCGCCGGAGAAGATTGTCGGCGATGACTTCTCTGCTGCCGAGGGAGAAGAGAGAGGGGAAATGAGAGAGAGTTGAGGGAGAAGAGAGAAAAAAGGTTGAGAGAAAATATTATACAATGGAATAACTCTGTGTATTTGGTATAGCTATGATGGGTAAATTAAAAATTTATTGTAGCTATGAAAAATAATTAAATTAAAAGGTAGTTATTATCCATTAATAGCTCTTAGATTTAGCTATGGCAGGTAAATTTTCCATTGATGAATGGTGAGGATGATGGCAGTATACTAGGTTGACTGGGCCTCTCTTGGGCTGATTGTTCGGCTGGCCTTTTACTCAAAATTTTTACACAAATAGCCCACCAAATTTATTATTATTTACATTTTATTACTGATATATATAGATTATCGACTGATTATACATGGATATACATATTATATATGAATTATACATATATTATATATCCGCCGGCTATTTTTAATTTAAGTGGTTGGGCAGGCTGCTATTTTAGCTTATTCTTGGGCAAAATACTAAATTGATCGATCGGCTGAAACTTATTACATCCGCTAGCCGAACAGTGTCTAAAATATATATACAAAAAATATATATATTATCGGCTATTATGTTTTAGAGCGACTAAAATATACATTTCTCTTAATTATTCTTCTCTATTTTGACCCATGTTTTATTAAACTCGAGGCCCAATTTACTAGGTTCAGCTCCTCACCAAATGTAGTGGATTACCCTAATCCATAACTATTGTACATTTACTTTCATCTCATCTCTAATTACTTTATGGTCCACATAAAATTGGCAGTATATGTAAAATGGAAAAATAGAGTAACTATTGTACACTCAAAAAGGAAAGATGGAATAAATTAATTGCTTTTCATGTTATAACTGTGTTGTTCCACAATATCTAGATAAATGGATGAGATCTTCATTAAAA